GGGGAGGGGGCGGTCCACACTCACCCCGAGCACTGTACCAAGGCCATAAGGCTAGCAGCAGCAGCGGCCACAGCATCCTGCCTCTGCCCAGCTGAACCCCTGCAAATAAATCAGACCTGTTACTTCTGAATACATAAACTCAACGTCTAGTGTAGATTGGAATTTTTACTCATATGACCATTTAAAAAGAATTTGTATAGGAAAATCAGAAACACATGGATTTGTGGGCAGTTAAAGCTAGATAGGAAATGTGCTTTTCAAATGGATTCTTCTAACTGTAGCTGGTATTCACTAGTCTAGCCTTTGCTGACAAACACTATGCTAATGACGTCCTAAGTATTCATATTATTTAACCCTCATAATGACCTAGGAGGCAACAACTATTATTATCATCTCCATTTTACTGATGGGTAAGTGGAGTTCAGAGAAGTTAAGTGCTTGCCCAGAGCAATGATGATACTGAAAGGTGTAGCCAGGATGTAAACCCAGGAAGTTTGAATTCAGAAAAATGTCAGCTTGGGGAAAATAACCTATGAAGACATTTTGTGTAAATAGCCAAGAAAAAAGTTGCACATGACTTAATTAAATAGAATAAATATTAACTGTATATGAGTTAGAAGTAAACTTAGTTTGGTGGATCATAATTACAAAAAACAAAAATAGCCTTCTACTTAGTAATCACTTTTACTTTGTCTTTCTATTTTCCTGAGGCCTGTTTTTCCATTCTTGAGGATTCTCAGTTGGCAGGCTCAGCAGACACTGGCCCAGAAGTTAGAGACTGGCCAGGAGCCCGTTCCACAGTTAACCCCTGCTCGGCCTCCTGGTCTCCCCACTGAGCAGCGCATGGTCCCAACACCCCTCCAGCGATACACTGCATCCCGCTGAGGCGAAGCCAAGCTGAGTCCCTCACCCCTCCCTGTTTAGGGCTTCAAAGATCCTGAGCTCCTCAGTGACGAAGAAATCCAAGGAGTCCCCTCTCCAGAAGGATTTGGGAACCTAGGACTACCCATTCCCCCCAAGATGGGGACCATCCCCTGGGGAAGCGGGGTCCATGCAGGACCCTCAGATTTCCCCCTGGGACCCAGACACTTGCTTTCAGTCTGTCCACAGCAAGTCCAGAATTTCACTGAGTTCCACCTACACATCGAGGAGCCAGCTGTGTACCCAGGCAAGCCCCTGCCGGACCAGGCTCAGAGATGCCTTGTCAGACACCCTCTGTGCAACCTGGGGAAACTTACTTACCCTCTCTGGTCTCAGTCTCCTCCTCTGTAGAATGAAGAATAGGCATTTAAATTTTCTACTCATGGGGTTATTGTGAGAAATAAATCAAGCAAGTTAGTGTCTGTAAAGGCTTATGTAGCCCAACAAGCACAGGGCGCATGGCTGTTCATTGGAATGCGCTGTCCCATGACCACCCAGTGCAGTAGGAGTGAGGGTGTTCATAGGACTCCAGAGGGCTGAGTTACACGAGTGAAGCCTCTTAAGGGACTTAGACTAGCACTTGGCACTCAGTGAACACTACGCAAGCGTTCCAGAGTAAACGGTGGGCAGGCACGTCTGCAAAGCTCGGGTCTTTTCCCCATTCAGCCACACGTGCACCTCTGTCCCCTGCAGACAGCAGTGACCACTGCCTCTGGCAAAGACAAGCTCCATCCAAAATGTAAATTTCCAAATTCTGGAGGCTCAGCTTCCTATCAGCCTCAAGGGAGTACACTGAACTCTGCTGCTAACAAAATCAAATCCTCTGATTCTAAAGCAGACGTGTCAGCACTCTGCCATCTGTCCCATCTTATCTCAGGGGATCGCGACAGCAAAAAAGAACACAGCAGGCTCGGAGTCACGGGTATGGCTGGTACAGCCTTATCAAGTCCTGTGTTCTTAGAAGGCAACACGTATGATATCCTACGACACACGCCATAGGGACGGGGACACACGCTCCCATATCCTACGCCTCACTTCACACATTTAGTGCTTGTTTAAGGTCATATTTTTTCCAAAGGAAAGGTTTCCAAAGCCTTCTGCAACAGAATATCATTAGAACTTGTAAAGATCTTTTAAAATTCTTTTTATATCAACAATCAAAGCAAACATAACTTCACTGAGAAATACCTCCTTCCCTCGGTCGAGAGTGCCGTGATTTCCCCAAAGGAACCCAACTCGGATTTACAGAAGTCATGCTAATTCCCCTCTGCCTTTTCATCTGCAAATTATTCCCCAAACTTTCAAGAACAGCTGGAGTCCAGGGCAGTCAGAACACTCTGCACAGACTCACTGAACACTATTCATTAAGAACGTTCAAAAACACTTGTCAGCTGTGAAAAATGTTTAGAATTTGTCTCTATAACCTCTCTGCTTATTTTTCACGTGCTCAGGAACAATTTTTTCTAGTTTCTTTCTCATGGCCGCACCTCGATAATAAACTTTATGTGCAAATGTCTTATTTTGTAGCTGAAAACAGAAGCATCTGCCCAAGTTTCCAGGCAGCTACGTTCACGAAAGTAACAAGAATCCTCAGGTGATGCGAAAGCCCAGGAAGGTCACAGCATTATCCCTGCAAATAAAGTGCTGAAAATGAGTTGACTTGCCTCAGTTCTCCAACTGGGCGGCACAAATGCAAGGTGAAGACGTGCTTGCTGTTGAGGGGCTAATGGGCACATGCCCCCTCCTTACTTTAAATCTCTTCTGCACTTTCTCCTTCCCCCCTCTTAGAATCAGAAAGAGGCTTTTCTGAAAATTAAACTACGATGAAATGTTTTGGTAAATTCAAAAAAAGCTCTTACCTGGTATGTAGAAAACCTGCAGGGATGACTCCTCTCAGAGTTGGGAATGGGGTCCAGGAGGTATGAGGGTCCGGGAGGAGGCCCAGCCCCACTCAGCAGAGGAGCTGGGCTCAGAGCTCGGTACCCACCGGGCAGCAGGCGCTCCTTATATGCTCTGGGTCCTGTGTGGGGCTGTCAGTCAGACACACGCGGAAGCAAGCTGAACTCACTCCTTCGGAGAAATGACATAATTCCTCCTCTGATCTCGCATTTGCTGGAGTACCGGGCACCGGTCTGGTCCAGCCTCCCCACACCCCCGTAGCCCCACCCCTGCTCCGACCCGCAGCTGGGGGACCACAGAGGAGAAGCCAGATGAGTGAGGGGAAGATTGACTTTTCCTGTCTTCTCTCAGGAAATAAAATGCTATAAATAAAGCCAGCAAGATTGGCTGGAACTCCCCTTTTTGCTTAAGAGAAAGAATGCAAGTTGTAGGCTTCAGAGCTGGTTCACATTACCCAAAGTGAGAATGGTCTTTCTAAACCAAATAAGTAACAATCAATAAAACGCAAAAGAGTAACTGGGTGGAAATGATCAGTCCACCTACTGATGAAGTTATATGGACCAATTCATTTATCATGTGCGGAAAGTACGATATTTCATCTAAAAGGAAGTCAACACATCACCTGGATGACAGACAAACAGGATGGGGAATTATTTTCACCCAAATTCTATTTCATGAGCTCAGCCCGGACCCCATAGGATGGCCTCTCCCTGGAGACGCCCAGCGTGCGGCCAGGAACCTCTGGCACAGACTTTCCCAGCGGCATGAACGAGCCGTAGTCAGCTTCCACAGACTCGCTTACCAGGACAGCCCGATGAGCGGGTCGTGCAAGAGGAAGCCTCGAGAAGTAAGAATGGCAACAGCCAGACTCCCTGCCACTTCCCAGAGCTCACACATCCCAGGCTGGGCCCTGGACGGAGGGAGGAGATGGATGGGAGAGGGGGCGGATGAGGGGCAGGTGGATGGAGGGAGGAGGTGCGGCATCCCCAAGGCCAGGCTGGACCGCAGACAGAAGAGGAGGTGTGGTCGGCCGCATGGGCTGACGACCCCCGAGGTACCGGGCAGCGGTGTGGTCAGCAGTTGACAGGTCAAGTCTCAGCTAAAGGGTGTTAGAGGGAGTTTGCTCTAAGCCACCTTGGAATCTGATGGGGTAATGTTGCTGAGGGACCTGCATCCTCTATACCTGGGTCCCTGCCAGGTGGGGGCCACGAGGGGCAGCAGGTGCACACAGAGCCAGCCACACTGCAGTCCAGCCAGGGTGTCCCTGGGGGTTTGGAGGATGGAGTGGGACAGGGAGAGGGCTCGTCACCAAGCAGGACCATGACTTTGGCCCACTGTTTGCATTTTCTGAAAGCCTTTGTTTATGGTGACTGTACATTTGTTACCGGGTACACAACATCAATTTCTGACGTACAGAGAAAGAAGAAACTTGACTCAAAGAATATATAGTATATGTCTTGTTCAAGGTAAGATATCTTGCTTTTGGTCAACTAATTGGTGACACAGTCATCATTTAAATTTAAAAAGCTGGACTCTATGTAACTCAGTTGATGTTGTCTCAGACTCCAAAGAAGAATGTATAACCCCGTTTCCCTTAAAGCCTTTTCAGTGGAGCTTGTTGATATGCTAGTTGACCTTTGCTGACAGGTTGGCTGCTCCTTTGTCCAGAAAGCGGTGGTTAAACACTCACGCCCCACCTGCCAGCAGACGGAGCCGTCAGTGCCTCTCTTTATCTACCCATCCGTCTGATGGCCACTCACCCAACGAGCTTGAAGACAGGAAGTCCTGCTGTGCTGAGCATCTCAGGAGCATCTCAGGAGCACATGGGGTGAGGAAGGGTCTCACCACCTTCGCGGCTGAGGAGAACAGACCACAAGCAGGGCCAGGTCAGAGGAGCGCTTGGCCAGAGGTATCACCTTGCTGGGGCTCCAGAGAAGAGGTTTCTCCCAAAGGGGAAGCTGGACTTGGCAGTTCCACTGCACAGGGGGCATTGGAGGCTGGAGCGGAGCAGGCACAGAAGGTCCTGGGCGGCCACCACGGGACAGAGGGACTTGTGACAACGAACCACAAGGCAGAGTCGGTCACAGTAGGCAAACGGGAATTCTGAAGAGTTAACAGACACTTGAGCAGTATATCAGTTTTCGGGGATGAGGAAAGTGTGTGCATCTAACAGAAGAGGGGAAAGAAAGGCCAAAGCAGGCTGAGTCACATCCCCCAGTGCGTGGCCACCTGGAGCCTGTGACCTGACACTGTTTG